CTTTTTTACTCTCTTCTATATGTATTATATTTTATTATATTTTAACAAAATTATATGTGAACGATTATGAAAACTTGTACAAGTTATATCAATAAAAGATTTTTATTAATGTCACTTCGTCAAGAAAACTATCCTTTTTTTCAGTTTTCAACAGGATGTTCCCTCTTAGATATTTAGCACGGTAATCGGATAGAGTCAAACCGCAACTGCTATTGTAATGTATGTGAAAATAATAGCGCCTTGTCCCTCGCGAGCGCAAATGAACATGCGAAGGTAGAGGCGTAAAAAATACTTTCTTTTAAGGCGCAGTTTCTCTTCGAGAGTGAAGAAATAACAGTTTGAAAGGCATCAAACAATACTCCGACTTCAATGGTGATTGCTCATTATAATATAGCAATGAAAGCACAAATTTTTCTAACAAACTAACAAAAAAAGATGGTCATCTCTTGCGGATAAAATAAAGTATATAGAATTTAAAGCATAGAAAAGGTAAGCGTTTCTTATCAGGGCAGAACGAGAAACAATTTCATTTTCCTGTATTTCACGTTGAAATTCCAGCGGAACAAACGACAAAAAGTAAAAGTCTGAAAGTGTCCGCAGAATCTTTGACAATGGATTTCGGATTGTCACTGTCATGAGAGAAGCTTATCTCGCTTATTAATCATCATCTTAATACGTCTAAGCATTCGTTGCTGAAGAAATTACGAGTCTACAATCTACTTTCTCGATTGGAACATTAAAATTAATTTGTACCAAATTGCAACTTAAAATATTATATTAATTTATTGCATTATCGTAATACGTTGTATAAAGTTATTTTCGCGATTGAGTTATCTTAAATAAAATAAATAACTCAAATAAAATAAAGATATAATTATATGTCATTTTTCACTTTGTTTGTTACGCGAACGAATTTAGTGGATAAGATTAGTGCGATTTGCAGTGATTTTATCTGATTTATAATAAAAAAATTCCATTAATGTATTATCCTGCCACTATAAAATTCAGTATTGATATAATCTCGAGAGCAAATAAATCGGAAAACATTTTAATGTCAAAAATAAAGGAACAATTAACTGCATTAACATAGTTTATTCTTGTACCGATATTAGCACACACACACACACACACAGTGAAGAATCTTCTCAATTAATTTTTAAATTTATTTTTCAAGCATTAAATGCGGGATTCGAGTAATAAATCAGCGCTTAATTATAATCGTACTGCGAGAGATAGCATGACTAATAACAATAGCCGACTTGTGCGAGTATAAAATAGTGTGTAGCGTGTATATGTTGTCATTTTCGCGACGAGAGTCGAGCGGATAGTATCAACAAGCGCTTGTGTCGTTGTTTATCTCTCGAAGTACGAACACGACAAAGATATATCTTCGTAAAATTAACGATTAGTCGCACACGATACGTACTTCACTTTATATTACAACGAGAGAAAGCGAAAATCATGATTATACGAAGCTACAATCTGCATAGCACATTACATATTTTGTTATATTGCGACGGAGAAATGCGAGAATCACGAAGTTACGATTCAATAAAATATCGCGAATTCACATAATACTATCTCTATTGCTGACGACTAATATACGCATTTTATAGCAATTTTATTGTTATACGAGCAAAATTAACGATAAATATTCTCTCTCTCTCTCTCTCTCTCTCTATCTTTCTCTCTACCCCCCTCCTCTCTCTTTCTCTCTCCTTCGCGGAACGTAATACATATCATAAAATATAATATCATTGCTTTGTTGATTCGCAATTAATTTCGATCGAATAAATTACACACATAAAATATGCGTTTTTAACAGATTATTGATGTAAGCATCGAATTTATGGTATTTTACTATTTAACGTATACCGTATATACTGTTTACATACAACTACTTTGTTGTTAGTCGCACGGTATGAATTGAACGAACAGGATTTTTTTTACATATACATAATAATTTTGTATAAAATCCGTGTCAGTCGCGCGGTGAGGCTCGAGTTAACAGGAACGTCGCGAGGTACTCCATATATAACTGTATTATATATGTATATCTCGAGACGCGATTATTTTATACGAACAATTAGAGATTGTCAGCGCGATTAATTAACTGTTTGTTAGAAATATAGCATTGTGTAAATTCGCGGCCGCGCAATTTTCCACCGCCTGATCATAACATCGTGATATTCGCGCGGTCTTTCGTCGCGATACAATAAAGTGCGTAACATAATAAAGCGTTCAATTTTAATGCCGAGAATACCGTACAAAGTACCGTGCGATTTTCGTATTCTGGAGATTAGAGTGCGGGTGCGATCGTAATTAACTGTTTTAAATGTATTTTCGCGAATGCGAATGTTATGAAGAAAGAACAAAGGACAAACAACAGATGAAAAGAAAATACCGAAAGGCATCGGATAGCGATCGAGCTCGTAAGGTAAGCAATTAATAATTTTGTTAATTTATTATTTGTTATCAGCAACATTAATTCGCTTAACTTCGGCGATAGTATCTCACTTTACATTATTTTGAGATATAAGAGTTAACCTTTAGACGTTTCGTGAGACGCGCATATGATAATATTAGTGATCGCGCATTTCGAAATCTTCAATTTAGCATCTTCATCACGAGAAATTAAATTTGAACGTATGACAAGTAATATATAATGCAATAATAATGTAATAAAAAATGCCAAATATGATTATTTCCTACCATTATTATAATTCTAATTAGTTGTCATAAAATATGGAAAAAAATTGCCATATAAATTTATATGTATATTAACAACAGAAATAATTCTGTATAAATTTTCAATCGTGCAATTTTCCAGTACCAAGCGAATTATAACCATGAGTTATGTATTTTTTTATCACGATATAAAATAAAGTGTGCGATTAACATTGGAGGTATAATGCCGCGCAATTATCGTATTCTGATGATTGCTCGTATAATCGTAATGTATTTTCGCGAGTGTCGTGCGAATGCCATGAAGAAACTGCAAAGCATTAATAAGAAAGAGAAGATCCGAGATATCATCAATGACGATAAGCAACTATAAAGTGAGCAATTTATAAATTTAGTTGTTAAATTATATTATGTTATCTAAAATATTAATAAATACAAACTATATAAGCAATTATACACATAATTGCTTATGTAATTGTATCTATTAGTATTTTACAGATCAGCATCGTGTTTTTTATTATTCCACAGTTGTGCATTATCGATAAATATTAAATAATTTTTTGTTTTATTTTAAAGTAATATATCATAGATATCAGAAAAATTTGAATTTGATAATTTTCTTAAAAATAATATATACAAAGTGTCTCAAAGCTCGCGGAACAACATATTATAGCAAGAAAATTCCGAAAAATTAAATAATAAAAGTATTAAAATATTTTTTTCTTTAAAATAGTTCTTTTAAATATGAAAATTTAGAACTAGCCGATCATAGGCTACGTTTAGACAGTTGTCCGTCTGTGAATCGCATGTAAAATAATATTAATAATTATGCGAAATCTCCATTAATCTGGCACCTTCACCACAAGAAGAAATCGAGAATCGAGAACTAAAGCAATAAATTAACAGGAAATTAAAATTTATAATTGTGTTACATATCCAAATTTGATTTCTCGGCGTGATATTGCCGAATTAACGGAAATTGAATTCGTTGGATTCACTGGATTGAGACAGGATATATAAAAAATATTTGCGGAAATATTATTTCGTCGATAAATATATATATGTATAAAGGCAAGTTTTTTTAGCTATATATATATATATATATATCGTGCATACGCTGTATTTCCGCTGATTCGACAAGTGAAATTCAACTCGCGGTCTCTCGCGCAGTAAAAGGCTGAAAGTGTCCGCCGCCTGTTCATTTACAGGGACTTTCGATTCGCGTCGATGCCGCGGTGGATATCGCGCTGTTGTACACTCGTCGTCCGTCCTCCGGTTATAATCATCATCTCGTTTCGTGCCATTTACATCTCATATCACGTTCTCCGTCTCTCCTGCGAACCCGACTTCGCTTCTTTCCACATGAGAATCTAGGTCGCACGGCCGCGTTCACCTTCTAGCAAAAGCAATGTCTTTCAAGGAAGGTCGTCGGTCGGTCTCGTCTGGAAAGGCTCTCTTCCGAACGACCATGCTTATCCCTTTCGTTAAATTAATTACCCTCGATCTCGCGGCCGGATGTAAAAAAAAATTTATGGTCGACCGGACATTCCTCCGGTATCGCAAATGGAAAAATAACCCTTCCTTTCTTTCTGCCGGCTATTAATATTCGAGTTTTAAAATATGAATAATTTTCTTCGCTTATTAATTATCGCTCGCGTGCGATAATTGAATTTAATTAATTTAACAGAATTTAACAATTTTTTAAATAATTATAGCAAAGTTTCTTAGAAAAATCGTCGAAAAATTTTTAAATATTTGCATATCTCAAGCTTTTGTATCATTTGATATAACTACATAATTAAATATATCACGTGCAAATAAAATTTCTAAATGATTTTCACGTGTATGTGCGTGTGTGTTATTTAAACGTGATTGATTCAAGCACGTAAGCAATTAGCCCGAGTGATTAATTAAGCCTCTTTCTATCGAACAATTCAAGAAACTACAGCGGCAGATCAATTACTCCTTTCTAGTAATTACGTTTATCTCCAAATTGTTATATTTCGTTACCACGGGTATCCCTTCTCGAATCATTGTCATCAGGTTTATTGTGCCGTCATTAGAAAGTGCGCATCATGTGGAAAGCGTCCACTTTTATCTGATTATCCGGCACTTTGGTTTCGCGAGAGGAATAGCACGCGCGATTTTTCCGCAGGAGAAAATCCACCATACGGTGGCTTATATTTCGAGGTGAAACAAGGGGAAAAAAAGAACAGGATCGAGAGATGCGCCGCGAGTTTTAACGCCTAATTCGCTCTAATTAATTATTGCCGGTCGCTAATAATTAGAAAGTAAGTCTCGCATTGTGTACTCACACGTCGGCAGCTGTTGAGGTATCTGGGCTGCGTGTGCACTGCTGTGTCTCGTTATTGTGATCTGAAAAGAGAGAAAAGGCAACGTGTTTTAGATCTTTTCGCATAATAAGATACAATTGTTAGCGCTAACTTAACCGCGCTATCGCCGATGTTAGTCGTTGGTAGTGAGCGTATCGCGCGAATACAATTAGAATGCAAGCGCAAGATACACGATATTGTACGTAATACGACTACACATGCGTAGAGCGTGAGTACTTTAAATATTTATCGCTTAAGTAAGAACACGCTAATAAGCCTCAATAAAATTCCCTCAAGGCTGCACTTAGATCCCGATCGGTGAGATTTAATTAAGCGACATAAATATGTGATGATGTAGCCGACAATGGATGAAAGACGCGGAAAAGAAATTTATAAACGGGGAAAAAGAAAGAATCGTGGAAAAAGTTACGTAAAATTCTAGATATATAACCAACGTTAGGTAAACACTGACATGAGAAACGCGTGGAAAAAGAGAGTAGTGTCTCCGTCACTTTTACCGCTTAGATCCGATCCGTATTTATCGGCAGATTATTCCCGGTGACGGAGCAAGTTGCCACAATTGGCAGTGTGATATCATCGGCGCTTGTGGTAAAGCCAATGATGAAATAGGTGCGCGTGATGCTGTTTCGAGAAAAAAAAAGTACCGGACTCTCTTGAGATCTATAAAACGCTTCGAGACGAATGTGTGCGGCCGCATATTAAAGTAACGCTCGTAATTACGATCAATATAAGCCGGTATGTCAGTAATGGCGAATGACGATCTATCTTAAATCAAATCCCATATCTATAGATTTTCTAAGCAATTTTACGGTATCATTATACATTATAACAATAATGCCATAACGTATTTTATTTTATGTCCTTGTGAAATGGTTAGAGCGCGTTATATCTCCTTTAACCACCGTTGATTAAAAAGAAATACTATCGTAATAAGTGCAAAAATGGGAAACTCATTTATCACAATGTACCTTAATACGTCGAAGAAATTGGCGCTGAGATTCCCTATAATTTATAAAATTAGCAATGTAATTTCAAATGTAGTTTTCAAACATTTTTATAACGCGTTATATGTGATAGATCTTCCAACATATTTCACGTCCAAGCATTAATTTAACCGACGCCGATGTGGGATCAATCAATGATTGATTATCGTTCGATTAAACAGCACGATATGAAAGTCTCATGAAAATGTCAAGCTCCACTAGACTCGAACTTGTCTCGTTATTTTGCCTTTCAAGATATATGAATCATATATTTTTAATTTCCACAGTATTAGATTATTCCGGTTGATTGTCGCCATCATTAATAAAAATTCGCGTAGAAGAAGCTTTTTCTAAAATACCCGATATTATCGTTATCGTCAATCGAAGATTATTAGAATTGATGATTATTCGGTTGCACGATTTTTTTGATTTATTACAATATTCGTAACAAAAAGGAAAGATTATTTTGCAAGGTTATTATTATGTAATATTTAAAATCATAAAACGGTTAGGCTTTCAATCACGTCATACACGGAGATAGAAATGAAGTAATAAAATAATAATTAATCTTTTAAATGAGACCTGGAAGCTCCTGCTTACAAGATTGTAAATGAGTGAAAGATAAGTCTTCCTGTGTGAGAAAACGCGCGGGTCTAGTCCGATAATGGAAAAGGCGCGTGCAACACATTTAATACATCCGCAAATAATATCGCCTCTAATTATCCTATCCGGTGAAAAACACGTAACGACACAAGTCTATTTTTAGATTAACGAGCGACGCGATACATGAGGTACCGTAATTGCCTTCCATTCATCTAATTCAAAACTCATTACTGTAGTGCATCTTGGAGCACTGGTAATTTCGCGTAACGCATAATGCGCGATCATAATGCAATTATTAAAATGAGAGATGTAGCTTCTAGACGATTTAATTAGCGCAAATCGCGGTTTACGCTCGCATGAATAAATTGTTTTTATCGGCGATAACTGACTAGATATCGTATGTGTCGTGAAAACTGATCTGTATACACGCGGATCCGTAGAAACGTCGGTAAGAGGAGCGATGGTGAACGAGCGTAAATAATACAAGGACGATTGTGTATCTCACCACGATATATAATTTCCCCTCGTGACACACTTTTATTTCCCTGTCGCTTCCAATTTAGATATCGACAGCTAAACGAGCGGAATCGAATGTATATGTCGTAGCCAGATTAAATATTTCGTCGTTTTATAAAACGATAGCCGATTTTTTCTAAGTGATTTTAGAAGCTCCCCTCGCGTCGCTATCAAACTTTCGCCTTTTTTTTTTCTCCCACGCAGAGAATGTTCTCGCGCAAAAAATTATTCTGCGTATGTGTGTGCGCGCAGAAGTGCTAAATGATCGCTTCTGCGTTTGCTTACGCGACGGAAAGTTTCACGACACGAGTCTCCGCGGCAAACACTGACGTCAGCATGGTCGACGCGTGTTCGTCCGTGCAATGAAAGTGGTCTAACGAGTCACTGGCCATTCAAGTGTATATACGTGACGTGGTCGCTGCACTTCTCTTTCTCTCCTCCTCTGTCTCACGTGGACTGTATTTGCGACTCTCTCTCTCTCTAATAATAACGCGCCAAAGTGAAGGTGACAGTGAGGGAACTGTCGGCTTAGCTACTAGCCGATTTTCATCGCGGAAATACTGTTCCATTAATTTGACAAACGCCCGTGGCAAGGCAGATTATCGCGAGATCGAAAAACATGGACATGAGTCAAACGCGAAAAACACAACGACGGACATACCTTGATATAAAGCGCAGCAGCGCACAGTTACCCACCAAGTCAAACCGTACCATATAAGGTTCGTGACGTTCCATCCGATGGAATCTATCGAGAACTGACCTTCCACAACGCAGAATGTGCGTCGTTCTTTATAGCACGACAGAAAAAAAAACTGAGAAACTTGTTCCCGATTTTTAACGTGGATATGGCGATATAAAATTAATCACATCAATTTTCTTTTATTACTCGCAATATTGTCGAAAATAGTCGACTAATCGTTCAATTAGCATGGGAATTTTCATATTTTCATAATAATACAATATATGTATTAAAATGATGGCCCCCGATTTCCATATTAACGTCATCGTGAGACATGGCGATATAAAATTAATCATCAATATTCTTTTATTACTCGCGATATTGTCGAAAATAGTCGACTAATCGTTCAATTAGCATGGGAATTTTCATATTTTCATAATAATACAATATATGTATTAAAATGATGGCCCCCGATTTCCATATTAACGTCATCGTGAGACGTGAGACTCTTTGAAGTCAAGTAGTTCAATAGGTAATTGGAGCGATAAACGACGGTCGATCGACAGCCGCGATCGCGGATCTAACGTGGGCAGGGGATCTCCTTGAAATCACCGTCCATTACACTCGCTCCTTCGCTATTGCAGACACAATCTGCAGCTCTTACCACTTAGTCACCCTTGTATACGCAATCCCTCCTGTCGCGCGGCGCGTGCTCACGTGACGTGACGCCGCGATTTGACGCCGCGAGCGAAGTCGCGATTATGTCATAGCAGAGCGTTTAAGTATTTAGCGCGGGACAAGCGTTCCGCCGACACGAGGCTCCCTTCCATGGAGAAAGACCTTCCAGGAGCTTGTCATCTCGCGTGGGCGAGGAGATCGCGCCCAGTTCAATCGCGACGACTTCCGAACTTTAAAACGCGCACCCACGCGAAACCTACATCGGTCGATCAAATGTACCACGCGATTCTATCGATTTCTAATTAAACGGATGACTCGATTCGCGAATCATAATCTGTTCTCCTAAACGGAATAAATTTGTATGGATTTCGACGTATGAATTGTCAGTAATGTTTATATATAAAGAGAAAGAGAGTATATTTGACAGACGAGACTTTTTACTTTTTCTTTTCTTTTTGTCAGCATATAAATTTCTATTGATTTTTCCGACCGACTCATCACCTAGAATAGAATGTGTGCTTAAAGCGTCTCTCTTTGCGTACCTATTATATTCCTGGTCCATGAATCGTTTGAAGAATATTTTCTTCCACACACAAAGAGCTGGTGCGAAGAAGATAAAGTCTCTGATTTTTTTAAAGAAAATATTTGGAAATGTTTGAAACTTTTCTCTTTCGGAGAATCTGTTTCGAAAATATGTAACATATGACATGATGTAATATATCAAAATCGCAATACGTTCTTTGCAGAATTTAAATCGATTTTCCATGTTGTAATAAAAGAATAAATAACATTACAAAAAGGGCAGATTTAACGTCATATTTTCTTCCGGTTATCGAAAGCCTTCTATCGACTCTCGTAAAGTGAAACGTTTATGGAAACGTGCCAGCAAGCTCCAGGCTCTCCAAGATCTCGAGCCGATATTTTAAAGAACACGAAGTAAAAGTGGGCGTGGTGGTTCTGAACGGATTGTCTTTCCTTCTTATATGCATGGAGTATTTCGATAAAACTCGACACGCGAACCCATCATATCTTTCTCGTTCACGCTTCGCCAATGCAAAAAAAAAAAAAGGAAGCTTGAATTCTATTTCACGAAATACTTTCTCATGAGAGGCATTTACAAATATTAAAATTATTTATATGGCATTGAATATAGGTTCTCATGACGTAAGTCCTTATGACATTTCATAAATGGAGCACAGATCATACGTTGAGATCATTTAACTGTAACGGCTTAAATTTTGGAATTTTATTTCGTATTTTGTGCAAAATAATCCATATTAACAATGAAAAATTTGAAAACAATGAACGGAAGCACTTATTTATATTCTATTCCATCCATTAGCATGTTTTAAAGATCCTGTCGTAGAGACCTTCTAAGCCACGTAAACGCCAAGTTTAGCGTAATTGTCAATTATTATGTGTTACATAACGCTGGGATTGCCGCCTCTTGAATGGGTTAACGATTTTAAATCCGTCAACCTCTATCAAGAGAACGATCCCACGACTATTGTCGGAATAGTGACATAACATTCTCCGAAACCATCGCGAAATACCGTCATACTTAAATACCTGCATTACCACACTTTTTGTTTACATCGTATTTCAATGCCATATATATAATTCTTGCTTCAAAATTAACATACAATGCATTGCAAATTTTAATTAGTCAATTAACTTTAATTATATAATTATATATAAAATTTAAATTTTTTTCAAACATTTCAATAATGCATATATAAATTGTTTATTATATAAATAGATTATATAATAAGTAAATTATTTATCCGCGCGCGTTAATCTGTAAAATATCCATTAGCCAGAAAAATGCATACAATTTATTTTCATTTTTTATTCTCTAAACATTTTCTATTTTTATATTTGATACTGATTAACAAATTCGCAAATACCTCTCTGGGATGTGTTGTGTGCCAACAAAAGAGATTACATAATGCATCACATACCTAACCAACACACGTGTGCGACGCAGCACGCATGGGAGAAAGTATGTGTATATGTATATTGCGGACATCATTAATCCATGCTATTCGAAACGATAGCGAGTTTGCAGATCACATATTCCCGATTACATATTATCTGTTTTGTTTATCCTTCGACTTTTAGGATGTCAAATCGAATGCAAGGATAATCGATCGATCAATTTCTTTAAATAAAACTATCAATAATAGAATAATTGTACAATGATACAAATAACATTTTGTCGTATACTTTCTTTTTACGCGTTGCTGTTGTTATTAAGCATTATGACAGTTCTTTTTCGTGCGAATTACATATAATACAAGTGGATTTAGAACAATTTAGACGTAAATTAAGCAATTTAAGATGAATCATTTATTATGCAAGCAGATTGCATATTTTCTGTGAGAGAGAAAAAGGGTGGAAATTTAATAATATTTTTAGATTAAATTAAATATATAAGATAGCATAAATAGAAAACACATATCGTGATTATATAACAGGATTATGTAATGGAAAAGAAGGGATAATGTGCATTTATACAAATGTTTTTTATGTGATGTTATAAAAATTCCATAATACCGATAATTCTACAATTTAAATATTTTAACGTATTTTAATTTGCATTTTGCAAGAAGTCAAAGACTCGAGTCGTTCAAATAATTATGATTATATCTAAGTCTCATAAATTTAAAATAAACTTTTTATGCGCAGCAAAAAAAATGTTTTTATTTATTTATTTATTTTTTTTTGTATTTACTCACCACTAAAAATGCCAGTGCGACCCTCCTCCAGTCCATGGCTAAAATAAAAGAGAAAGTCTTATTAATAACTGGGTCGAACTCTGTGAGAATACGATCGACTGTGCAAACATCATCTTCACCATGAAATATAGACGGCAAAAAATTATCGAAAATTGGCCATTTCTTATTGTACTTATACGCTTATCCGAAATATATTTTTTTATCATCAGCGGCACAGTAACTGTTAATCAATAAATTTATCGAAATAATTCGACTAATATACTTTCCTTTTTAAGAAAATATATTTTGAAAAAATATTAAATTAAAAAATTAAAACTATTATATATTACTATTTACTTCATAAAGAAAATCTCTATCAGGTGTGTCTATATAATTAAGCAAGATGAGCCAAAAATCATGATACAACATGCACGATATCAGAAATCATTGAATCTTGAAAAAGTATAAATAAATAAATTTTAATCTTCCAATTTTTAAAATTATTTTCCTCGACAATAAAACTTCGTAAAATTTTTCTTTTCTTTTTTCTCCCGATTTTTAGTTTCTTGCCGATTGTACCATAAATTTTAGCTCACCTTGTATAATTATAGAAAAATATAATGGTTTTATAAAAAAAATTGTTTTTCAATTATTGAACTTTTTCAGTATTATATTATGTATATATTATTAAAACGAAATAATAAGTAAATTTGCCTAACGCATTTTAAGATATGGTGACTGAATCACTTTCGCTCCATACAACCCGTTTATTCGTTTCCTATCATTATCTTACTCTCGTTATCGACCTTGAGCTCGCTTTTAGAGAGTTGTATCTCACACATTCTTTATGTTAATTTCATCTAATCTATAGAAGAGACCCGTGAAGAGAATCTAATATCCTCTATTATACTATCCTATAAATTGACACGGGGTACAACAAAGATTCGCATCTTTCTCTCATTCCATTCCATAAATCGCAGTCCGAAGCGGTTTGCGGTTGTGCAAAAAAAAAAAAAAAAAAAAAGATAAAGATAAAGAAAAGAACAAGGATCGCGCGATGCTTCGTCATGTCACCCCGAACGAGGGTTAAGACGGACCTCTCTTTCTCTCTCTCAATAGCGAGACAGACGGTAAACGTTTTCAGACGGGTTAGTATATAACGGGGCCCGTTGGCGCGTTTGGATACAGGCGTTTGCCTGCCGAGAAAGCGCGACACGTTTGTTCGCGAAGGCGGAGGCGGCGATGTGCACGATACAACGTTCACTTTTTAGAACACCACGATAGGCGGCGGCGAAAAAAAATATGATCGACCTCGATCACCACTGGACCACCGTGGTCGGCTGTGGCCGCTTATCGCGAACCCTTTTCGACTCTCTTCGGCCGGCGCCGGATATTATATCGCGACATGCTCCGTGATTTATGAGACTGCTGAGATCGACATCCCTGCGCGACGACATCCTGTGGCTTTCTTTCTTATAGATATGGGGTTATCGTGATCAGATTCGCGATCGCGGCCAGGGACATGTCCTTCGTGATGCTCGTTGCAGGCGGGAGTGAAAAGAATCTTCCCTTTGAAAGACATAAAGTATCTTCCGAAAGAAGTAAAAAGATCGAATAATAATATATATAGATAATGAATTAATAGATTAATTCATATCTCTTTTACTAGCATAAGATTAGCATAAAATACTTTACACAATTTTTTATACACATTTATATCGGTGCTGGCTAGCAAGGTCGAATGATTTGAGCAGCGAGGTGGACATTTCGACGGCGGAAACAGCTGTCGCGCAGGTGATTTAAGGTTTTGGTTCGAGTGTGCTGGGGAGCCACGATGGGTAATCGAAAAATTCAAGGACAATATAACGAGCAGTATTTACGTGGGAAGAGTCCCACGTAACGAGCCTGGAAATCCTCTCTCTCTATTAGAAAATTGGAGAAAATAGCGCGGTAATCCCTATACATGTTCCTCATTATAGAGGACACGAGTTATCCTTATAAATTCAACGTATGCGTCTTCTCATCCAATATTCATATTCTTTATAATTCGAGATAATAGACTAAAAAAATATTAGCTAAGTAATAAGAATTATATAAGCAGAAAATAATTAATATTAATATAATTTAGAAATTTATGTATTTTATGTATGTTAACACAATTCAAAGTCATGATAAATTAAGTAATTAAATCGAGTAATATAGTATGCAAATAGTGTCCGAATATTAATATAATACTTACGCTGAAAGCGTTAAAATCACTGGAGAATTCAATGCCTGTATATAAGAAACGTGTAGAGGGAAAAAATTTCCGGTGACTTTAACGCCATACTTTCTGCATGCGCTTAATTGCATAGAGATCCGTGATAATTACTATTAATTTTAAATATTGATCCCATAAACTGTACAGATCAATCCGAAAGATAAAAACTGTTATTTTTGCAACACTTCGTTGCATACGTAAACCCACTCTGAAATTGCTCTTTCCATTTCCATAATAACGACTTCGAAATGTTTATCTAACCCACACGGCTTCGCAGTACGGGCGATTCGAACCTTGATAACTGCATATTTGGTTAAAGCTCGCCCACAACACGAGGCGCCGATGAGCCCAACGAATAGCCGAAGCCTTGGGCTTGATTTCTGTTCCATAACAGTCGTTATTAAAACGACTATTAAGTTGATGTTATCCATCCGACAATTATCATCACGTGTTTCTCATTTATCTAGAAATACATACTATCACACTCGCAAAATTATCTTGAGACATGTGTCGGTGAAAATGTAATCTTTAAGTCGAACTGTCGAAATTGTTACCGATAAATTTAAATATTGATAAATTGACGGAAGCATAAAATTAATCTTAATTTTATTTTCTAATTTATTTAATAGTGAATGTGTACATTTATTTATTTTTTTTTCGAATCGCTAATTAAAACAGTATACTTGAGTGTCCGCTAATGTAACCATTTTTTTTACACGAAAAAAACATGATGCTATCTTTTAGATCCTATGTTTAAAGGATTTAATAAAACCGAGAATATGTAGTGCCTAAAATCTATAATTGATATGACGTAATAATAATAATTTGCAGAAATATTTGATATCCATAAATTGGTGAATTAAAATGTTATCGTATTTTCTTTTTTTTTTTAATTATGAATTTTTATAATCATAAAATGTTTATAGCGTGAATCGGACAAGCGCGCAAGCATAATATTTGTATGAATATTTGTATCACAGAGTATATATCATAATTTGCCGATATATACTAGAAGAAAAATTATTTATTGCAACTTATAATAGAGAGAAATTTCATTAAAAAGACATTAAAAAGATATTCTGGAATTAGAAACGATAGCCGTATTTTAAGAAAATATAATTCTAGATTTCCGGAAGCTGTGATACAATAGCAATAATGATAAAAGAGTCTCTCACCTGCTGCTCCTTTTCCGAATCTCCCGAGGATAATTTCAGATTACTCGCGCCGCGTTACGACACCGAGCGACAGCGAAATTCTTCTCTTTCTCTCGCGCGTCCGCCAACTCGAGATACAAGCTTCGAGGCGCAAATCACCGGAAGAAAGTCCCGCGATAGTGATCAATCGGCCCGGTCGATCATCAATAATCTCAGCTGCAATGGATCATCGGCGGTTTGGTGAAGTGTCGAAAACGCGTCCTCGCCGGCCACAAGATCCACCTCCTGTACGTCGACATCCCAAAAGAATTCCTAACCTTGCTTCTGCTCCTGTCCCTTTCTCTCACTTTCTTGCTCTCTCTTTCTCTTGGCAATTTTGCAATCTTCCTCGCCTAACCTTTCGTAAACTTGCAAGGCCGATCGAATAGCTTTCTTCAGCGCAATCCTCACGTGTACACTTAATGCAACTCACGTAACTTTCGATGATCACTTTTCGCGTAAACCGATCAGCTGTATCGATCACGACGCGCGTCGCGTCCTTTCTAAAAACTGTGCTCCGTTTGAACTGGCATACGTCATATATGAATGAATATATACGCATATGATTTTTCAGTACTGCCAATACTGGCAGTCTACATTAGGGAGCACGTCTTAACACAGCGACTTTTTTTTTTTCAAATAGCGCCTTTTTCGCGCGCATAGATATCTCTCGAATTCGTTCGAAATTTTAGAATCGTTTCAATCTCGAAGTCGATCGCGCAAAGATTCGTTACAAGTTCTACTACAGCTTTCTTTTTTATTTGAATATCATGAAGACTCGAATGATGCGTTTAATAAATAAATGAATATACATGAATATTAGATGTTGCTTATACTTGTGATGTCGGAATACCTATCTTGACCGAATCGTTGTCGTTCGCGAGTGCATGTCTCTCGTCCATTGTTGATCCGTCGAATCGTTTCTCCGCTCTGTCCTTTTATTTTGACACTGCACTGCACTTACTGGGCCCACGGTTCTCCATGGGACCGATCGAGCGTGGAGGAAAAGTACAAAACGGAAGGAACGTCCGTTACAATCAACCGGAGAGTCGAGACTGACGACTGACTGAACATCCGTTCGGTTCGCGATTCGTGCCGTTCGTGGCGCCACTCTTCGCGCAAGAGTCGGAGGGAAAGGGAAGAAGAAGAATGATCAAATCCGACAGAGACGAACGATTTAACTGCGCACGCCATGGATGTAGGAAATATGTGGACGGAGCGTATTGCCACGCGGGTAAAGCCAAAGGGGAAAGGGGATTGAAAGTCTAATGCATAGACATAATATATTTAAATCAAGCATTTGCCTTTATTTAAGGAGTGAGGAGCAAAGGTGCACGTAGGAAAGGATATATTCTGTTTCGTGCTCCTTGCGTTCTCTCTCGCTCGCGCGTAACATAGCGTTCTCTTTCGTTACGCTACACGCGAGCGAGAAAGACGGAAGGAGCACGAAACAGAGCATGTCTTTTTCTACGTGTACCTCGACTCCCACTTCTTAACACTCGGTTTAAATATACTATGGCTGCGGTCGGGAAGACGCTAGAAATGCTTCGAAGCGTTTGATTGACCAATCAGGACAAAAAGAGTAAAGATTCTTTATTCTGATTGGTTAATGCAATGCTTCGAAGCATCTCCAGTGCCTTCTCGACCGCAGCCTATGTCTATGGTCTAGTTTATATATATGTTACTATTGAACGACCAAGATGGTCACAATAGAGATTTCCTCTTACTCCTCAGGTTTCATTCCCCGCATGCAAAAATATACTTTGTGTTCCGTCTAGTTATTTGCTATGTCCATGACGCACGCGAGAAAAAAAGAGAGAAAAAGAGGAGAAAGAGAAACGGCCAAGTTGAACGGAGAGGAATGATCTAACCGCGCGAGAGAGATATTTGCCAAAAGAGAGAGTATACATTTAAAATGATCTAGAAATTTAAGGGA